AAAAAAAAAAAAAAAAAAAAAAAGAATTAGAGGTGAGATTACTATATATTCCACAGTTATTAAGGAAATATGTCAATCAATTCCACAACATGGATAAAACAGACAAATTCCTTAATAGACACAAATTACCAAAGCTCACTCAAGAAAAAAATAAATAACCATAATAACCCTATATATATTAAAATTTCAATTAGTAGTTAAAAATTTTAAATGTCTCACATAGAAAACTCCAGGCCCAGATGGTTAATTCTATTAAGTATATAATGAAGAAATCATACAAATTTTATGAAAATTCATTCTAAAAAGAAGTCTATGTGGACATGATTACCTAGATAACAAAGTCAAAGACATGACAAGAATATTGATCAATCTCTCATAAACAAAAAGATTCAGAAATTCTAAACAAATTTTCAGCATATCCAATTTATTAGTATATTAAAAGGGTAATAAAACACAATCAAATAAAATTTATTGTGGCTGGGCCTGGCGGCTCACACCTGTAATCCTAGCACTGTGGGAGGCTGAGGCGGGCAGATCACAAGGTCAAGAGATCAAGACCATCCTGGCCAACATGGTGAAACCCCATCTCTCCTAAAAATACAAAAGTTAGCTGGGCGTGGTGGTGTGCACCTGTAGTCCCAGCTACTCGGGTAGCTGAGGCAGGAGAACTGCTTGAACCCAGGAGGTGGAGGTTGCAGTGAACCGAGATCGCACCACTGCACTCCAGCCTGGCGCCTGGTGACAGAGCAAGATTCTGTCTCAAAAAAAAAAAACAAAAAAAAAACCAGTTTATTCCATGGATAAACATTAAAAAATAATCTAATTCACCATATTAACAAACTTAAAAAGAAAAACCATATGATCATCTTTACAGAAACGGAAAAGCATTTAACAAAATCCAATATCCATTCCAATTAAGAACCACCCAACAAACTGGAAATGTAATGGAACTTCCTCAACCTGATTAATTGCATCTACAAAAAGCCTTCATCTGACACCATACCTAAGAGTAAAAGACTGAAGGCTTTTCCTCTAAAATCAGGAACAATATAAGAATGTATACTTTCATCATCTCTACCATCACTTTACTGGAGGTTGTAAGCAGTGCAATCATACAAGAAAGAGAAATAAAAGGGAACCAGGTTAGAAAGAAAGAAGTAAAACTGTTTTTATTTATAGAGCACATGATCATCTTGAATTCCTTATGCCAAGGACACTTCAGGACACTAGACTGGGTTTTCTCAACCTAGCATTATTGACATTTGGGGCCAGATAATTCTGTGTCGGGAACTGATGTGCACTAGGAGGGTGATGGCTGCCTGTACATTGAAAGATATTTAGCAACACCTCTGGTCTCTTCCCAGAGACACCAGTAGCACTTACCCACCCTGACCTCAATTCCTGACAACTGCAATGCCACAATTATCTCCAATCATTACCAAATGTTCCTTAATGGAATGGGAAAATTCTCCCCTCCCTGCCCACATTGAGAACTACTGTTCTGGAGTCAAAGTTAAGGTGAATTACGTGAATTTGAGAATGAAGGAAGTTAGAAGATGGCTATAGCAATAAAGGTAAAAAATAAAAAAGGCCCAAACTACTTTAGCAATAGCAGCCTTGGACTGGAAGGGATGGGACAATAAAATTTAAGTAGCATTTGGCTGATAGGGTAGAATAGAGGAGCTCAAGTTTTGGTTTGCATAATGAGGTAGATGCTGGTGTCACCAAAGAGATGATCATATTACATGTAACAGAAAACATGGAATCCATGTTCTTAAAAGCCTATCATGGTGGCTGAATTTTCTGATTCCAAAGTATCTCCAGATTGATAGAGAGTACAAGGATGGTTACCAGAGGCTGGGAAAAGTAGTTAGGGGTAAGGAGGGTGGTGAGGGGGTGGTGAAGATAGTTAATGGGTACAAAGAAATAGAATGAATGAGCAAGATCTAGTATTTAATAGCACAACAGGGTGACTATAGTCAATAATAATTTAACTGTACACTTTAAAATAACTAAAAGAATATAATTGGATTGTTTGTAACACAAAAGATAAATGCTTGAAGGGACAGATACCCCATATTCCATGATATGATTATTACTCACTGCATGTCTATATCAAAACATCACATGTATCCCATAATATACTTACACTGTACCCACAAAAACTAAAATTTAAAAACAAAGTATCTTCAGATTAAAAAAAATTAGAAAAAGGAGGACTTCATTAACTGCACTTTGATTTGATTCTTAGTAAACATAAAATTTAAGTGGCCTTCCTAATCCCCAAATCCTGAGAGTCACCACATGAATTGAAATGTAGAAGACTATATAGTGGATTATGTTTCTGTAAGTATGACAGAGCAGGAGAGTGGCCAAGCAGGGCAAGGGGAGGCATTCATGTTAAGCACGAAGTTGTAAAGAAAATCTTTCCATAATTCCTCAGAAATATACACCTTTCATCTATCTGTATGCAAAACCAGATAAAGATTATGGTATAGCCAACTGGAATGTACTGTTCTACCTTAGGTTAGCAGTTACAACTGTGTTTATTTTTTCACTTACAAAGCACATTATTTTTTAAAAAGCTTTATTGGAATATGTCACATATCATATAATTCACATATATAGAGTATATAATCCAATAGTTTCTAGTTTGTTCACAGAGTTGTGAGACCATCACCACAATCAATTTTAGAACATTTTCATCACCCTCCAAAAAACTTGATAATTATTAGTACTCATTCCCCATTTTTCCTCCTCACCTATTCTCTTCCCTGCATCTCCTAGCCCAGGTGATAACTTATCTACCTTCTGTCTCTAATAGATTATGCACAGTCTTCATTAACAGGCTAATATTTGGTCTTGTTTTATATCTTAACACACTTCAATTTCTGGAAATTGCTATGTCCAGTGGCAAATAATAGAGTGAAATAATTTACCTTGGGATGAAAAGCAAAACACATTCCAGGAGCCTGTCGAGATATCAAAGCTTCATCTTTCTTTTCCTTTTCCCCTCCTTTTTTGTTACTGGCAACAGTAGTTCTCTTTAATCGCATCAAATCTGTATTTAAAGAAAAACATATATAATTTGTGATTTACTATAAGAAATAGTACCACAAATATCTTGTGTGTTTCTCCTGCAAATTATATTAGTTCTGCCAACTTTGGCATGTAATTAGGCTAAAATTAGCACACACTAGAACTAGCTACTTAGAAAAACAATGATCAAGCCCAATTTTTTTCCTATTGGCCAAACCATAATTTGTCACCTTTCACACATGGTTAACTAGAAATTTTTAATTCAGCGTGTAACAACAGAAAGACAACTTGATTTTCCTTTTACCATAACAGTCTAGTCCTTTTCGTATAACCCATTTGGAGATTCTTCCATCTGCTGATATAGAAACTAGGATTTCTCTTTTGTCATCTCCTGTCGTTCCTCGATCTTGTTCTATCCACTGTAGTTGCCATACAGGTCCCAAATGTTTTTGAGGTGATTCACTAAAACAGGGAAAAATACTGAATAAATAATCATTATAATAATTCCTTAAATGCAAATCAAAACCACACTGAGATATCATCTCACACCAGTTAGAATGGCGATCATTAAAGAATCTGGAGACAACAGATGCTAGAGAGGATGTGGAGAAATAGGAACACTTTTACACTGCTGGTGGGAGAGTAAATTAGTTCAACCATTGTGGAAGACAGTATGGCGATTTCTCAAGGATATAGAAATAGAAATTCCATTTGACCCAGCAATCCCATTACTGGGTATATACCCAAAAGAACTGTGAATTGTTCTACTGTAAAGACACATGCACATGTATGTTCATTGCAGCCCTGTGTACAATAGCAAAGACCTGGAACCAACCCAAATGCCCATCAATGATAGACTGGACAAAGAAAATGTGGTACATATACACCATGGAATACTACGCAGCCATAAGAAACAATGAGATTGTGTTCTTTGTAGGGACCTGGATGAAACTGGAAACCATCATTCTCAGCAAACTGACACAAGAACAGAAAGCCAAACACCATATGTTCTCACTCATAGGCGGGTATTGAACAACAAGAACACGTGGACTCAGGGAAAGGAGCATCAGACACTAAGGGCAGTTGGGGGGGTAAGGGAGAGACGGCAGGGGATGGGGAGGGAGGGGAGGGTGGGAAGGGATAACATGGGGAGAAATGCCAGATATAGTATGCACCTAAAGTAAAATAAATAAATTAAAAAATAATAATAATAACTCCTTAAAGGCTTGAGTATAAGAGATAAGGTCAGCTTCCTAGAAGATCATGACCTACTTATACAATCCTTTTATTGTTCAAAATTAACTTTTATTTTAAATATTTTGAAAAATAAAAAAGACAACCACTCTTCTACTTAAAGTCATTGTTATTTTTTCTGTTTCTTACAAAAGAAAAATTGTACTGGTCTTTAACTATATTAGCTATCATAACAGGAATACAAAAGCAAAAATGTTCTTTCTTTTCAGAATCTTCCTTTCTTACTCTATTCATTAACTCTTTCTTTGTTTAGTTTTGTACATTCTGACTTTTATTTTAGACACACTAAATATAAGTATTTTTATCTTTTTAACGTTTTTATGAATTAAGTTGTTAATCATCTAAATCCTATCCAGGTAAACAATTCTTCTTTCTGTATTTCACTTTTCTTCCTACTTTCAAGATTACCCACTGGTTTGACTCTCTCTATGAATTACAGTTAAAATTTTTCTGAAAAATTAAACTCACTTTTCAGATTAAAGACTCTTTTCCTATCAGATTAATGTGATGCCCTTTTCATAGTACTGACTTTCTTGGATTTTAAAGAAACCCTCCAATGCAATCTATTCTGAACATTCTTAAAATCATACATATCTTTGATTTTTTGGTGAAAATTATGAACCCTCTTTTCAGAAACAAGCACAGAGGGCCATGCTTACAAAACTGCAAATAATTTGAAAGTTAAGTTCAGGAACCTCTGCTTTAATAGTTATTTCTAGTTCTAGCTAAGTTTACTCAAACACTTACAAACATGCCCCATTGGTGTCCAGTCTATTACAAAAACTTAGCATCTTTAATATCTTTCACCTTTAACTTTTTGGCTTTCCTCATATAACTCATTTATTCATTCATTACTCCTCAAACACTTACTGGACTCCTGTTACATGTCCAATATTATATGATATGCTGATGACAGAAAGGTATGTAAGATTCAATTCTTGCTCTCAAATAACTTATACCCTCTTTAGTAAGATAGGTAGATAGATAGATAGACAGATAGATAATAGATAATAGATAGATGATAGACAAATAGGATAGATTTACATATAAATACACATAAATAATTTTTATATATAATGTGATAAGTACTATGATAAAGGTATGTATTGTTGCACAAAGGAAAGGAATGCGAAGATTTCCTGGAAGAAGTGAAACCAAAGCAATAGTTTAAGAATAAGCATAAACTGTCAAGCCAGAGGAAGTTTGTTAGTGAGATGGGAAGAGAAGTAGTTGAAGGAGCTATTAGGACAGAGCATTCCAGCTGGAGAGATAATATGAGAGATTATCAAATATTTCAAACATAATGGTATCACTCTCAATAACAACATAAATATTTACTTGAAACTAAATAACATTAGAGTAAATCGTCCTGAAAAAGCATGTATTCTACATTTATTTTATCCTTGGGTTCTTACCTACTATCCAGAACTGGAACATTACTGTTGCTCCGTACGTTATAAATTGCAATTGTGCCATTGTGGTAACCAACTGCTAAAAGGTTAGGTGATCCAATTGAAAAATCCACAGCAGTAACTCCACATGGACTCTGATAAATACGTTCTGGCCACTAAATTTAAAAAAATTACATTTTCAACTTGTTTTTGTAGACCACAGTAAGGCAGAATATAATGATGACTGAGATTTAGTCTGGTAGCAGTGTGTATGTGAGAATAGTTAACCTACTTCAGTTACTTCTGTCTTCCTAATTTCTGGTATAGAAGAGAATAAAACCTCACTTGGTCATTTCCTTTGATACAACAATGAAACCTCAGCACTCAATGGCTTTAAGAAATAAATAGAATGTTGGGCATGATGGCTCACTCCTATAATCCTAGCTACTAGGGAGGCTGAGGTGAGATGATCACTTGAGACCAGCAGTTTGAGATTAGCCTGGGCAACATAACAAGACCCCGATCTCAGAAAGAAAGAGAAGGACGGAAGGAAGGACGGAAGGAAGGAAGGAAGGAAGGAAGGAAGGAAGGAAAGAAGGAAGGAAGGAAGGAAGGAAGGAAGGGAGGAAGGAAAAGTACAGCACAGGCTTCTATAATAATTATATTTTGGTAATCTTTCAGCAGGATTAGTATTACCATCACATGTCTACCTTCTTATGGAAACAAAAAACTAATCATCTAGCATGTGTCTTCTGGTATTTGTTTCTGTCTTCTGGTATAGTGTCTTCTAGTATTTGTTTTGGATGATTGGGTTATCTAATCTAAAGAATGAACAGAAAAAGTTCCAAAACTCCCAAGTTACTCTTTTCTACAACCCCATGAAGAGTTTGTTTTGTTTTAATGTGTAATTTAAATCCTTTCCTGTTTTTAACCACCTACATAAAAAAGAAGACAAACTACTGGTGATGAATCCAATGTCAATCCCTCCACATTTAAAATTGCTTCTTCTGTTCTTTCATGCTATATAAACCCAGATTTATATGAGATGTAGCTAAGTTTATTCAAACATTGTTACATATGTTACAGAGTAGAGCTATTTATAAAAATTTTAGTCATTTTTATATGCTCTTTTCACCCTTCTCTAAGTTTTCCACTTTGCATTTCAGTTGTGAATTAAAACTAAATGTAAAACTTTAAAGTAACAGATTGACTAGGGCTGTTTAGCAAAAATACTACTATAATTCTTATTCATTCTCTTCGAAAAATGTATGACAGTAAGAAGGTCATATTAATTTATTTTATATCTATTGAGAATAACAGGTGATAAGGAGGTATTCATATATTAAGAAACAACCAAGTATTTTTAAAAGCATAATTTTCAAAAGATTTTCATTTACAGATTCATTTTTCTTTATAATTAGCTGTGAAAATCAATAATGGTTAAACTCTGCATCATCACATATAATGGCATATAGTACATGTTCAATAAATATTGACTGAATGAATAAATGAATTATCTTTACCCTATGTCAACAAGAATAAATTTTAACTGCTATGAAGTTAAACAAAAAAAAGTCTCAACTGATAAAATTTTCTAGACTTTAATTATTACGTCTTTATATGCTTTATGAGGATTTTGTCAACAGTTAGCCAAATAAAAATGCTTCTTATTTTTGTCTGGGTTACCATGGGATTCTTTATTGACCAACAGCAAGCCAATCCTCTTTTTTGCTCTTTAAATCCAAAGTTCCCATATCCAACAGCCAAGAGATCCTGAAAATCAAAAAAATACATTTAAAAATAAGAGAAGAGAGCATAAAAATATTGATAAATGTATAAAGATATATATTAATAAGCTGTATTAAAAATAGTAGTAAGACATTTCAACTAAGAGGAAAAATGCCAGTGTATCATCTGTTTATATTCTATACCTCCATATTTCTAAGCAAAAAAATTAATCAGTATAATGCTTCTCATTTGCAGACTAAAAGATAAGCACCTAAAAATAACCAATTGCTAACAAGTTCTTTTACATATTGAGGTAGTGTTCTGAGATTGTATTAACAGATTATAATATCTTTTGAGTTATTGAGGATGACATAATTATTTCAAATGTAAAATAAAGGACACCTAAGTTGAAAGTAGGTGCCATAGACTGAATTGTGTCTTCTTAAAATTCATATGTTGAAGGCCTAGCCTCCAATATGATTGTGTGTGGAGATAAAGGTTTTAGGAGGAATTCGAGGTTAAACGAGGTAATAAGGATGGAGTCCTAATGTGACAGGATTGGTGACTTTATAAAAAGAGAATCCCAGCACTTTGGGAGGCCAAGGGGGGTAGATCACGAGGTCAAGAGATCGAGACCATCCTGGTCAACATGCTGAAACCCCGTCTCTACTAAAAATACAAAAATTAGCTGGGCATGGTGGTGCGTGCCTGTAGTCCCAGCTACTCAGGAAGCTGAGGCAGGAGAATTGCTTGAACCCGGGAGGCGAAGGTTGCAGTGAGTGGAGATCGCACCACTGCACTCCAGCCTGGGTAACAAGAGCAAAACTCCGTCTCAAAAAAAAAAAGAAAAAAAAAAAGAGAAAAATACACCAGAGGTCTCTCTCTGCCACGTGAGGACACAGTGAAAAGGCAGCCACTGCAAGCCAGGAAGAGAGCTCTCACCAGAAACTAAATCAGTAGCCCTTGGATCTTAGACTTTCCAGCCTCCAGATTTATGAGAAAATAAATTTCTGTTGTTTAAGCCACATAGTCTGTAATATTTTGTTACGGCAGCATGAGCTGCCTAATACAGGAGGTTATTTCAAGAACTGCATATGTAAATACAAATGGGCAAAAGTTTAATAACTGAACAAATCCCCTCTGCTTTGTAACCAGAATACATTTAATTTTACAATATTATATTTTCTTATCATCACCTTATTTTCACGCCAACATAATCTCTCCACAATACCCTCTGTCTTAAAAACACTCTTCACTACTACCCTTTTCACACTGACAAAGACAAATCCCTATCTATCTCTTCTAGACTCTGCAGAGGCATTACTTTCTCTAAGAAACATTCAAGAGCTTCTCATATGTGTTCCCACAGCACTGTTTCTTTTCCTAATCATAGCACATTGGAAATTATTATACAGACAGGATCTATGTATAACTTCATTACTACTGTATCTCTAGTGCCTTAGCAGTGTGCCAGGCACAGAGTTGATGTTCAATAAATATTGATACAATGAATTAATAAATATTATAGATTCCATCTGTAATATGTTTATATTTAGCTTCATTCAAAATGATTTAAATTAATCTCCATAGCAATGCATTAATTTTTAAAATGCTAGTATATTCAGTTTCTAAAAATGTTTCACATATCTTTATTACTGATTTATTAAATCCTATTTACAGGCCAGGCTGGTAGCTCACACTCATAATCCCAGAACTTTGGGAGGCCAAGGTGGGAGGATCATTAGAAACCAGGAGTTCAAGACCAGCCTCAGCAACAAAACAAGACCCCCAATTCTCAAAAAAATTAATTAAATAATTAATTAAAATTATTTCCACTAATCAGCCATGCAGTCCCAAATATAGTTTTATAAAGACAAAATGATAATAAAAGTACTTAATTTTGTTACGAAATAATACACATAATGTGTTATTTAGGTTTCAATGGAAATGATTATAGACTTTCTGTTTTTTAATAACTGACAACTGTCATGTTTGCACACAGCACCTGATAAGATGTGGAAATAAAATAGTAAGGCTAATTCTTAACCATACAAACTACAATATAATTTAAATAAATTGGTTTTGACTGCTTCAGTGATATGTTAAATATGTATTCTGAAGATCCTGCCATTACCTGAAAAATTTTTGGAATTGTTGACTCGGAAATACCTTCAGAATCAGTTTATAAACCGCAGAAGAAAATTAGTCTCATCACTCTATAATTATTTCTTTTTTACAAGCAAACATATAATTCTCCAACTTGACAATTCATCTTATTTGCCTCAAGATGACTTTTGTCAGTGCAGTAGCTAAAAGCAAGAACTGTGGAGCCAGATGTCTACATTTGAATTCTGGCTGTTTCACTTACTAGTTGTGTAACTTTGGGCAAATTATTTATGCTTTTTGTGCTTCTGTTTCCTCTTGACATAATGAGAAAAATAATAGTATCTATTTCATAGCGTTGATGTGTTAGTACAGTTAAAACACAATAGTGCCTGCTACATACTAAGTGCTGTTTAAGCACTTGCTAATATCAGTGGTAACAGTATTTTAAGGAATCTTGAAATTATTTTGCACACTTGTAGGGTCACTAGATTAAGTATACACTTCCAAGTATAACTATTTTGAGGTTGATACGAATTTGGGCACATGAGTTTTGGTATACGTTAAAATAAATCAACCAATCTTCTAGTTTAGTTCTCCATATCTAACATGAATTCAAAGAATGCCATGTCTCAAGTAGATCCCCTAAAATAAAAATGGTAACGTTTTGCATATTAAATGTTTACTATATTAAAAGAGAAAAACATTATTGTAACTATTTGCATTTCCCCCTTTTTAAACTGGAACTTGTTTTAGGAGTTATGGAAAATTTAAATTCCTTACCCCATATCTAAGGAAAACAATTCTTCATTATTCAAACTTGATAATTTCCCTTCAATGCTAGAAACAGAATTGTTCAAATGTTTGATAACTTACTGGATTTGTTTTATTCCAGGCAAGGCTGCTCACATTGAGGCCTTTGGTTAATTCACAGGAAAAAGACCAAAGTCGTTCCAAGTTGGCTAGTATTGTTGATTCTTCTGCATCTATTTCTATTTCTTCTTCCTCTTCCTTCTTAGGTTCTTCCTCTACCTCTTCATGTTTTGCATTTTCTAAAAAGTCTTCAGGCTCTTCAGGTTCAGGTTCTAAAGTTTAATCAAATAAAAAGATCATTATCCTCTACATCTATAGGGACCTGCCAAAGGCTCCAAACAGCATACCACTGACACTTCAAGCACCATCAGATCTGCTGGATCATATGGTGCAAGCGGCAGGGCACCGTGAAGGGCAGCCTGGACCTATGGCAGAGTCTTCTGCCATTCTGGGTTTCTACCCAAAGCCAGCAGCTTTTCTGTTTATGTAGTAAATGGGCCAGTGTAGCACATCCAAATGACATATATGTTGTCTCTAACAGTAAAGAGACTCACTAAGCACTGTGCTTCCTTTTTGGTTGTAAAAGGTGCCAGGTATAACAACTAATCCTTCACATTAGAAGATATAGGTGAACATATCCCATACCACACACAGGACACCCAGAAACTTCACTCAGGTAGAAGTCCCCTGAATTTCTGTCAGATTTACTTCCTACTCTCTGACAGGCAAATGTCTTACTAAAGTCTACTTCCTGTTTACTAAGTTCAGTCAGCCTATCATCCATTTAATGTGCTAGTGTGTCATCTTGCTGAAGGGAAAGAGACCTGCAGACTAAATTATGACACAGGGCTGAAGAATTGATATACCCCTGAAGTAGGAAAGTGAATGTATATTGCTGGCCCCACCAGCTAAAAGCAAATGGCTTCTGGTTGTTTTCTACCAACAGACATTGCAGAGGGAAAAAAAGCATTTGTCTTGTCAATAGCTATGCACCAGGTACAAGGGAGATGTCTTAATTCCCTTAACAAACCTCATATGGAACAACAGTTGCAATCAGAGTCACCACCTGGTTAAGCTTATAATAACAATAATCCACTGTCATTCTCCAAGATCCACCTGTTTTTAAATTTATTTATTTATTTTCAATTTTTAGAGATGGGGGGTCTTACTGTATTGCCCAGGCTGGTCTTGAACTCCTGGCCTCAAGCAATTCTCCTGCCTCAGCTTCCCAAACTGCTGGGATTACAGACATGAGTCACTGCATTTGGTCAAGATCCATCTGTTTTCCACACGTCACATATGTGAGTTGAATGAGAAATGTGGTGGGTATCAACATCCCTGCATATTTCAAGTCCTTGACAGTGGCTCTAATCTCTGAAGTCCCTCCAGGAATGTGCTATTCCTTCTGGTTGACTATCATTATCACTCAAAGTCCATAGTTTACATTAGGGTTCACTCTTGGTATTATATATTCTATAGGTTTTGACAAACATAGAATGACATGGATCTGCCATTATAGTACCATACAGAATAGTTTCACTGCCTTAAAAATCTTCTTTTTAAAATTTAAAATTTTGTTTATCCCTCTCTGGTCCCTTGTCCCTGGAAACCACTGATCATTTGACTGTCTCCATATTTTGCCTTTTCCCAAATAGCTGGAACCATACAGTATGTGGCCTTTCAAATTTGCATCATTTTCAGAGTAATATGCATTCAAATTTCCTCCAGGTCTTTTCTGGATTGATAACTTAGTGACATGTAATACTCCACTGTCTCAATGTATCATAGATTATTTATCCATTTACCTACTGAAAACCCTTCACCTAGATGAAGGGCATCTTGGTTGCTTTATAAGTTTGGGCAATTATGAGTAAAACTGCTATAAATACCCATGTGCAGGTTTGGTGTAGGCACAATTTTCAGTTCATTTAGTTAATTGTCAGGAGTGAGTGATTACTAAATTGTATGGTAAGAGTATGTTTAGGTTTGTGTGTGGGGGTGGGGGTTGTTTTTGTTTTTGTTTTTTGAGACAGAGTCTCTCTCTGTTGCCCAGGTTGGAGTGCAGTGGCACCATCTCGACTCACTGCAACCTCCACCTCCTGGGTTCAAGTAATTCTTGTGCCTCAGCCTCCTGAGCATCTGGAACGACAGGCACCCGCCACCATGGCCAGCTAATTTTTAGTAGACGGGGTTTCGCTATGTTGGCCAGGCTGTTCTCGAACTCAAGTGGTCTGCCCACTTCAGCCTCCCAAAGTGCTGGCAACCGTCATGGTGAATCACCATGCCGAGACAAGAGTATGTTTAGTTTTATAAGAAATTGCCAAATTATCTTCCAAAGTGGATATACCATTGTGCATTCTCATCAGCATGAATGAGACTTCTTGTTGTTCCACATCTCCACCAGCTTTGAGTGCTGTCAGTGTTTTGGATTTGCCCATTCTAACAGGTTGTAGTGATACCTCATTGTTGTTTTAATTTGCAATTCCCTAATGAAATATGATGTTGAAAGGTCAGGTGTGGTGGCTTATACCTGTAATCCCAGCACTTTGGAAGACCAAGGAGGGAGGATAACTTGAGTTCAGAAATTGAAGACCAACCTGGGCAACAAAGCAAGACCTCATGTCTACGATTTTTTTTTAATTATCTGGGTGTGGTGGTGCATACCTGTGGTCTTAGCTACCCGGGAGGCTGAGGCAGGAGAACTGCTTGAGCCAGGGAAGCTGAGGCTACAGTCAGCCA